TTGTGGTTGGACCCACTTTGGCCGCATGCTATGAGAAGTCTCAGAGGTGACACTGACGAGCTTGTAGCTCCGCGCTGCCCGACAGCAGACTTGGCGGAGGCCATATTCCGGTTTTTGTTTTGTAGTTCTGCCCCAGACTGATATCACTGGCACTTGTTTTCTATCAGCCAAGGATGAAACGCAAAAACAAACAGAATAGGAGTGAAAGCTGCTTTTCACAATAATATACATTACTGGTCAATAGTTTGGAATAATTAAATATTTTAATATTTAATAATAATATTTCATATTTTGAAAGAAATCTCTTATGCTTAAGAAGAATGTATTTATTAGATCAAAAATACAGTATAGTTGTGAAATATTTTAATTTAAAACAACTTATTTATTTTAATATATTTTACAATGAAATTCATTTCTGTGATGGCAAAGCTGAATATTCAGGAGACATTTCTCCAGTCTCAGTGATCATTTTGATATGCTTAAAGTTATTATAAATTGTAATATTTCACAATATTACTGTTTTTACTGTATTTTGACCAAATAAAAGCAGCCTTGGTGTGCATAAAAGACTTCTTTCAAAAACAATACAAAAAATCTCAATTATTCCAAACAATGGACTGGTAGTGTATTAACATGTAATATAACATGCATCTTTCTAGGTTTGTGTTTACAAAATTTTTACTTTTTTTGTATTTGTTTTAAGGGTGACTCTGTAACATATCCAGGGTCTACAGATGAACAAAGCATTTTTGTAGATGTCTAATAACCAGCGTTTAATTTTGAATTTTCATTGTATTTTTCATATGCAACAAATAGATCAAAACAAAACCATAGGGCTTCGTGTTTGTCTGCTCTCCTGTGAATATTTTCACTATACTGTCTTTATCCTAAAAAGAGCTTTGAAAATTCTTGAATGGGCATATCCTTCAACAGGGGAAAACGAGGGAAAGTCCGGGTCTGTAAAGCCGGACAGACTGCTTTAATTAGCCCTTATATACTTTAGGTCACACCTGGGTGAGCTGCAGCCTGCCCTGGGCTATGAGAGGCTGTTGACAGCTTGATTGGAGCTATCTGTGGTGAGTACTGGATCTGGTGCAGGGTGTTAAAGGCAATGGGTGATGCAGAAACCCATCAGCAGTACAGAGGTTTGTGTCTTTATATTAGTCACTATATTAAGGGATCATAACATTTTGCACTGTGAATTTTGCACAGTTAAATCACAAATTATTGTTTTGTTTTTTCCATCGCAAAATATCAAAGCAGTACATCTGCTTTTAACCAACTGATCTCAAGTTTATTTTAAGGGATATAGTCAGTCAGTTCCTCTCAAGTTCATGCTAGAATAACCACAGGTGTAGTTCATCACAACTAAGTGCTTGATCAGGTTTGAAAAAACAGAAAATGTCCAAATATCTTTTGCCTTTGCTGTGAACTGTACTCTTTTTTTATCATTTAAAACCTCAAAAAGTTCTAACTTTCTTTAAATGCCACTTTGGCATATATATACGCTAAAAAAAATCTGTACAAAAATAGGGCACAATATACTGTATAATTTAAAGGAATTTTTTCCGTATTAATTTTTTTACAGGTGTTTTACCAGTATTTTAAATTTTACAGAATTTTACAGAGTTAACAGAAATGTCTGTAAAACCAATGGATAATACATTTATTTATTTTTGAGTATATATGATAATTCTTTGAGTAAATTAATAAATGAATTTGTGCTGTAATGTTGCAGTAATGGTAGGCTATATGTGAAAGGTCATAAGCTGCCCTCTTCCACAATGCCATCTTGATATTTCTAAGGTTTTATATCATGTTAGTTAAATTGGGCATACAACAAACAAACAATGTGAAGAATAGGGTTACGATCTGCGGCAGCAGTGGTGGGGGTGACGCTCGGCTCGCGGTAACCTCCCAGTGGCAGCGGCCCTGCCGGCCCTCCCTGTGTTCCTGGCCGTCTCTCACATGGTGATTGGGTTTCAGCGCAGGGCTCAGAGCTGTGGGAACGAGTCATCACACTGGCGGCCTGCCTGGGAGTCTGTGCTACGCTCCACCAGGGGGAAGGCACATGACAAGGGGGGGTTTTGTAAGCCCAAACAATGTGCCGTCTTCACTATTTAACCCAGGAAATTCACTACAGCTGGAGCCTCCAAATAGATGAGAAGCCCATCTGTGAAAGTGTGTCTGTCTGTGTGTATGCAGATATTTCCGAACAACTTTAAAGGGGTCATATGATGCGATTTCAAGTTTTCCTTTCTCTTTGGAGTGTTACAAGCTGATTGTGCATAGATAAGATCCCTGAAGTTGCAAAGACTAAAGTCTCAAAACCAAAGAGATATTCTTTATCAAAGTTAAGACTCTGCCACGCCCCCCTAAAACAGCTCATTCTAACACGCCCCCACATATCTACCTCACTATGTGGAAATATTTGCATAATGCCGCCCAAATGTTCACGCAAAGAAAGAAGGCGTGGTTAGTGGTTTCAGTAACCGCAGTTAGTGTTGAAGCAGCCATGTCAGGGAGAGCAGACTGCGCTTGTCAAAGGAGGGGACTTTGTAGAAAACAAGCGTTTGAGAGAGGTGGGGCATAAAGGACCTACAATAATGTACAGTATTTGGAAAATAATGTGTTTTTTGAACATTAAAGCATGTCAACATATTCTGTTACACCAAATACACAAAATAATGATCTTTAAAAAAGCATCATATGACCCCTTTAAATACTTTTATAATCTTGATATAATCAGTGTTTACAGAAACATTTTAAAGGACTTTCAGTATGTCCACTATATCATATGATGCGCTCATTTTCCCATAAATAAAAAAGTAATGAAAACTTATATGTTACCATTAAAGTGCTGTCTTATTAAATATAGGTTCGTTTTAGGGGAATTATGTTTGCTTTACTGCATATGGTGAGGTTACCCTTAATGATTTACCATAGTTTTTTTGTTGTTGTTGTTGTTAACAAGCATTTTCATAGACACATGGTTAAAATAAGTTTTTTTAAAGCCTATAAGTACACATACACAAAAGCGTTTTTAACAACCTTTCGAAAACCTAAAAGTAAAAATCGTTTAGTAATGAGCTTAACTACACGACGAACGTGAGGTAAAACCAACTGAGCTCGATCGTCGTCTGTATTAGACGGTAAATCGAATAAAACAATCTTTGCTTGCTTTTCGCGTTAATATGATACTTAACAAAACAAAATATAACATAAATCCTTAGTTAGATATTTGAAGGGTTAGCCAATGAGCGCTAAACCGATTTGGCACGCGTGAGATGAACTTCAGAAAACTGCTGACAGAAATGTCTTCCTTAAAATCATCAAATAATTCGTACACTACTACTTCGTACTACATTTTGGCAAGCCACTCTGCATCCTCATCTTAGCCTTGCCAGAAACCCTTTATCTAGATTTCCTGCCTATCTGCACACTATCCAAGCTCTGTCAGGCTCTGAAACACCGTCGCCTTTCTTGTGCAAAGTGTTTCTCACGCCTCTGGGGCCCTCGGGTGCAGAACGCGAGTGCTGAAGCTGGGCAGAGTCAATTATCAGGGGAATTAAGTTTGAGACCTCCATTCGGTGGCTCGGGGCGTGTTTTCTTTTTTCGGTGGGTGTTCCCAACGCAAGGACGTGGGCGTGAATGCGAGACTGAGGCTCCAGCGGTTCGTGGGAAAGACGCTCAGAGGGTTTGGTGTCTGTACCTGTGCGCACTGCATCATGAAGCGGCCTTGTGAGGACAGCACGTCCGACAGCGACATGGACGAAACTATTGATGTGGGTAGCGAGAATAACTACTCTGGGTAAGCGTGCATGGGAACCACAGCTTGTTTGCTGTTCTGTTACTGAGGATTCACTTTTAGATGTTATCTGAAAATCGTATGCTTTCTTTTGGACAATATATTAAATATATAAAATGCACATGGTAATTACGTTTATTATAAGTAAATATGCTTTATAAACAGCCTATAAAATATAATTATAAACAAATACAATATAATTTGATTATATAATCTGCTCAACAGGTCAGAAATGTCACTGAATCGTGTATCAGAGAAATTTAAGCTTAATATTTTTCATATATAATGACTGTACATAAACTATGTATTTAACCTAAATACCGTTAGTAGTTTATATACTGTCATGTGACCTAAAAATGTTGTTAATGGGGTAGCATTTAATTCAAGTAATATTATTATTTAATATTACTAAATCAAACTGACTAGATTGTACCAACAATCATTTTTATGGGTTCGATCGAGTAGAAATTGTATTTGCAATTTGTAATTGCATGTTACCATTTTTTAAAGTAATGCTTACATGTTACTAAACATTATTGTGAAATGTTACAGACATTTCTAACTATTTGAGTGTAGGCTACAGCTATTATTGATCTTTTATATTAAGGAATTTTGTTTGTTAATAGCTTAACGTTGAAAGTTATAAAGAAGTGTTAATAATTATCACTGTCAAGCATTTAACCTAAAATATGTTGTATGTGGTAACACAAAAATAACTGGTTTTGTTAGTCAAAAATCCAAAATATAATTTAATATGACTGAATAAAATTTTTTAAAAAAGTCATTTTTTTTGGTAACATCTATAAACTCTTTATACAGTGCACTGATAAGTTTTCGTCCCCCTTTTCCCCCCCAAAGTCAAAGCAACGGTTCGTTTATAAGATGTGGCTCACCTACCACAACATCTCAAGTCATGGCTAGAAAGAAGCGGAGAGGGGTAATTCCATACTTTTGATATATATA